TGTGTGGATAATTCAGATTTAAATTCCTCTACCCACCGTTAACGTGCTGCCTTACCCTGCTGGATAAGTCCTCACCCGCTTATCACTACCCTCCAGCTTGCTTTACATGCACTTCTGAACGGAGAAAGTGGCACACTGCTGCAGGCCCATTCAACTTGCCACGGAAGGGACCAGGGTACAGCATCGTTGTGTAAAACACAAAGGGAAGGTCGTACTTTTTCGCTGCGTCGTATTTGGTCGCTGTTGGGGGGGGGGTGTCGCATGTGGCTTTGAGAGAAGTTTGCCGCGTTAGGAAAAAATTTTTCCGGTTGTTGACTTTTCGTGATTTTTCCTGTTTCATGTGTACTATATACCCCCCTCCCTCCCTTACCGCGTCCCCACGCTCGATAAAGTGGAAAGTGTGGGAAATTGGTAGGTATTGGTTGAAAAAAAGAGGGGGGATCGTACTGACACCACCATTTCACACATCACGATGGCGTATTCTGGAAGGGACCGTCCTAGAGTGTGAGCGTAAAGTTTGCTTTTGTATCGAATGGTTACTAGGGCCGTTCTTCACTGATCCACTATTTGTGTAAGGAGGCAAAATTCGAAGTCGGATCCCTGTTAGGCACAGTTACGCATGCTTTCTGTGAGATCTCTGGATTTGCGTAAGAGAAATCCTCTTACGTTCAATGGTATATAAGCTGATCGTATCAGTTACGACGGAAGGGGGAGGAAAAGGATTATGGCTTTTAAAGAAATGGTAACTTAGCCTACGTCCACAAACATGTTTTGTGATTTGCAGCTTCAGCTGCAAAGTTGACATTGTAGAAAGGAGTAAATAAATGGCAGAAAGGAAGGAGGTTTAGTGACAATTCACACTGTTTTGTGCCTACACGACCTACAGGACAAATTCAGGATTGAGGGCCAGAAGAGGGTTACCCCGGGTTTGGTTCATGGTGCCAGGTTCGCTTGTTGAAAACGCTGAGTCATATATTGGCTGATCCCTAGGAGTCGTTTTATAGGTCATCTCTTCTAAAATGCGACTGCGATTGTGAATGGATGGAGAGTGCGCGGCGCATCCCAAAGGTGGGCCTACAAAACCCGTCGAGCCCTTAGTCTCTTATACAGTGTTGTTCGCTGCGGGCAGGGCGTATCAGGGGGTTGAAATTGGCGTGACGCGTCTTCCGTCAAGTGTGGTTGCTTGACAGCTTATGTAATTGGATAACGCGCTGGCGCCGCGTCAAACCCAGCCCATTGGGAAGTCCCAGCATCCGCAGCGAATAAGGCTGTTGTACAATACTAAGAAACACTTCCGCGTAGATTCAACTGCCATTTACCTGAGAGCGACAGCGTTCATCAGAGAAGAATCTGGTATTTGTCGGAACTGGGGCCATATCAATTTGTATTGAGGATGTTCAGAAAAAAGCCTGCAAATTTGAATAAGAAGTGCTGAAAAGAAAGATTAGGAGATGATGGGGTCTCTTGATAAACTGGTAGACATCAATTTACTTGACGAGCATTTTGAGTGCATTCCTTACAGGGTCCCTTTCCAGTTCTGCGAATGTTTGAATGAGTACTGCTCGTTGTCTCTCCGTTAACCGATTTACTTGTTGATACGTTTTTCTGGCTGCAAAAATTCATTTTTCCATCTGTCTAGGATTAAAAAATAATCAACCGACCTGTTTCATCACTTTCTCCTTCGATTTCCTCTTTTTTCGAGACACGTTTCGTGTCTGTGTGAATCGAAGCGCAACGTTTTGCGCGGTTCGAGACGATTGGTTTTGCTTTCACTTCGGGCTCTATATCTAGTGTAGCGCACTTGGGTACAGAGTTAATTTTACCGTTGTACATTTTACGGTACATGCAGTTTGCCTGGAATTTAGATTTTAGTGGGAATTTCAAAATTTGTTCTTGTGCCTTTTGGAGAAGTAACGAACGTACAAAGGAGCAGCTTCAGGCAGAGGAGAGATGTTAAGTCTACATTACGCGATTACTAGGTGGGCGGAGATTCACAACAGTTGTACGTCACTTACTGGTGTGCCCTTTCTTTCACTGGGCGGAGACCAACAACAGTTGTGGCGAACTCATTGGTGTGCCCCTTTCTCCGATATGGTAAAGGGTAGGGCTCGCCAATGAGGGGCGCGCTATGATGGGGCTCCGCCCATCCTAATGTAGAATGTTTCCTCGAAGAAGCTAACAAAGAAAATTTCTTCCCGACTTGTATGTGAAGATGGAAGGAAGCCAGACATCGGATTCCAGTATTAAAGGCACTGCTTATTTTGTATTGGGCGGGAACAGTCCACCTTTGTACCTTTTTCACTTACACGCCTCTTTTCGGTGCAGT